AGAACTCCACGAAGGGTGGCAGCACCTGGGGTCTACTTACATTATACGTGGGCCTAGTTCTATTTGGGTCCTATTCGGATTGGAGCCCCCTATACTAGAAACCTACCAGGAATGGGTCCGCTGCTCATGGGGTTCGATTAGAGTTGGATGCGATGTACGTATCACCAATATGATGAAATGCCAGACCCCCTGGCCCCCTTTCAAAGGAAATCCTGGTGTGGACGATTTGCCGGATGATTCCTATTGTATGGACTGCACATAAAAAGCCTGTTGTGCGGCTTTTCAATAGGATCCCTTATGTGAGCGATTGACTGATTGATTCCTATTCGGCGGATTGCACATAGAACCCATGTGGACGGGTTTTCGCTAGGACCAATTGTGTGTGCGATTTGCAAATTGATTTCTCGCGCGCGGGTTGAACATATAATAATTTGCGCGGCCATTCACCAGGATTCCATTGCAGGGTAAGGCGGCGACGAAAACGGCGAGAGAGAACGCGACATGACCGAGAGAGGGAACACAAACCAAGCGATCAAACGAAACCCACCAAATCAACATACAACACGCAAGTGACCCCAACAAAAATCATGGATTCCCCCCCGTGGGGGGGGCAGTGCGCGACGACGCGCGGCGCCGCGCATCCTGTGCTCGGCATCGCCCACCCGGACAATTGCAGGCCCGGGCGTGGCCGCAAGGGCCGCGCCCGCAACGTTGATCCGACAATATTCGCGGCGCCTTTCCGACATTCGACGCCTTCGGGGCGTTCGCTCGAAGCGTTACTTGTGCCTCGACAAAGCGCGCAGAGCCGACCTCCGTTGCCGCGCCGCCAGGTCGGTTCCAAGCGAGGCGGCCGCGTCGGAGACCGCCCCCGCCGCGCCGCCGAGCAGCTCGCCGAGCTCGCGCGCCAGCGGGGGGCTGTCAGGCGCGGCGGCGGGCGTGCCAACCTGCAACAGCACGCGCAGAAAATCGCGACAAGTGATGGGCGCGGCCGCGGGCGCCTTGAACACCCCGTCTAATGCGTCGATCTCGCTGGCGCCCTCGGTCGCGAGCGGACCATCGCCCATGCGCGAGGACAACCGAACGGATCAGAAGCTTCAATGCTGCGCGCCCTGACAAACAAACAATGGTGCGCGTCGCATGCCCCTGCAGGCGACCCAGACATGGCAGCGCGATGAGAAAGCCCCAGCTGAGCTTCAAAACGCGTCAGCACCGGGCCCCGAAACGCTCGTGCGTCGCTTCCACCGCCGCAAGGTTGGCGCCGAAAGACATGGAGCGAGAGCAGAGCAGCTCGAGGCAGACGCAATCAGAATATGCGGTGCCATCCCAAATGGCCCCCATTGAAACCTGGTTGCAATGCGAATTGATATCCGCTCTGGCAACCTGGCGCCACGCGGCGCCCTCGGCGCTGCCCCCTGGGCCGAAAACACAAAACCGCCAGGGGTATTCGTCGCGGGAATTCCGAGGCACGGGGCGTCGCGCGCGCTACTAGACGCGGGCGGGGCTAGCGAATTCGACAATCGGCGTTAGCCCCCCCCTCGCGCCGTTCCAACAAGGGCGGTAGCAAACGGGAGGGCCGCGTCGGAAACGGGCCCAGGTTTTCGTCGGCCTGATACAGGGGAACCAGGGCTCCCAGTGCCTCGGCGACACCAGCGGCAACTGCTCGAGGTGCAATCCATCCAACGACTGGGAGGCGACAGAGGAGGAAACTCGCGCTGACTGTGCGGACCTCGTCAGCACTGGCCCTCGGAAGATGCGCGCGGTCCGGCATTTCGGTCTGGGGGCACTGGAGCTGGCGCGCCGGGGGCGCGCGAGGGTCTCGCCTTCGGCGCGCAACGGAGCCTGGGAATTACAGCTAAACTGGCCCGGTGAGGACCGGATTACCGCGGGCTCGCACATCTACTTCATATTCGTTGAACGACGCATAGCGCTAGCCCCTTCTCTCGAAGCCTTCTCGCGCCATTCGTCCCATGAGTCCTGCGCGGACTTGGCGAGGCCCTGCTGGGCGTCGGCTCGGCCGCCTTCAAAATCGCCGAGAAGACCGCGGACGTCGCGCGCTCACCCCTCGAGCGAGGCAGGCGACGTCGTCGCGCGGGAACTCGAGCCCGCGAGAATGCGGCGTCCAAACGCGTCGCCGCGCCCTCACCTCGGCAGGGCCGAAGCGATAAGTGCCGCGCTGGCCGCGGCGCATCTTGAGGCTAAAGCGCCCCTCTGGGTCTGTCTACGCCGGGGTCCTGGGCAGCATCCAGAGGCCTAGGACGCGCACCCAACGTCTCTGAAACATGCCGCGGCAACCGAACCCGCCCGCGGTCGACCAGCTCGGTGCATGCGCTTCTTGGGGCGGCAGAGATCGGGGCCCACTTCGCTCGGGGCGCCCCCCCTTTCGCGCCCCGCAGTCGCGATGGGCATCTCCGGAACCGGGCCAAATTCAAGCTCCAGGCGGTTGGAAGAGACCCGCCGGGCCTGAGCGAGGAAATCCCGGGCATAATCGATTGGATTTCCAAGCGCGCTCGCGCCGCGCACTCCGCGGCGTCTCGAGCTAGGGCCCTGCCCCGTGGCTGGGCCCCGGGTGACTTGGATGCGCTGCTTGATGCAGCCGAACAGCTTGCTGCCTAAAGCGGAGGTGGGCAGGGCGACGCCGCCGCCCGCTCCACTGCAGGTCGCGATCAACTTGCTCAGCAAGTCTCGAGGCGGGAGCCAAGCAAAAATCGACTGCGCCCAAAGAGCTGGCGCCGGCGCAACCGCGAGAGGAAGGGGGGGGGGGCGAACAGCAAAGCGCCCCATCTTCGAACCAACCCAGCTCCATCAACGAGGGTCGTGCCCGAATGCCCCTCCTGCAGAGGACCGCCTGGTCCTTGGCGAAAAGCGCGCGCGCAATAGTGACCGCCGGCCAGTCGGGAATATCTAATTTAATCTTAGTATAGCTCGAGTAGGAACGAGGGCCCCTCCCCCATCGGGCCATCGCAAGCCGAAGTACTCGCTCGCGTGACGACATCCCCCCATTTCGGTCGACAGTTGGCCCCAATTTACTGACAGCACCGCACTCATCTCCCAAAAGGTCGCCCACGAACCCGCTTTCTTGAAACAGAACAGCACGAGCAGGAGTCGCAGCCAGGCGACTCCTCAGGGTCCCCCAAGTGTGTCCGTCGTAGGTTGCCACATCTTCTCCATTGCCGAACAAGTCCTCACGGTCGGGGTCAAGACGGGGAGGGGCGGGGAGGGGGCTGCAGCCAGCCATATTTAGACAACTGACAGCCGCAGCAGCGCGGAAAGAAAACTGTGCCCTGACGAAGACGCACCCGAACTGGACCTCGTCGTGGACGGCGGCCCAAGCCCCCCAGCCGATCGGGCGCGCGGCGACCTTCCAGACGGCCCGCTAAGCCTAACCACCGCGGGCACAAGGCAAGCCGCAAGGCTGCAACCACCCCTCTCAGCTTCCCCAGGGCCCAGCCGCAGGGAGTGCGAACTCGCAGAAGGTCTGATAGCTTGACCGCGCTGACGATGTCTGCTGTTACCCCCCCCCGCTGCTTCTTGGCAAACGACGCGGCGACCTTCTCGGCGAACTCGCGCTTCCCCACCTGCTGGGCTGCAAACGACAAATCGTCCATGTCGTTGTCGTCGCATCCCGCGGGGGTGCCAGCGGCCCCATCAGCATAGTCCGCTGCGTCCGCTGCGCCGTCGCCGTGCTCACTGCCGCCTGGTGTGGGGGGCAGATTCTATCAGCGTGCTGCCTGCCGTGCGCGAAATGCTCGAGTGGGACGCCTGTCGTGCGCGCTCGCGTTCAGCATCAGCCACATCAGCGTCAGGAGACACCAGAAGCGACGCAGGAGGGCGAGCAGTCGCCGCAGCAACCCGTGCTTGCTGCTTCTCGGGTAGCTTCGTGTACACGTCGTTCATGTCTAACCGCGTTCATTTCTCATTGCGCTCGTTTCTAACTGTTCTTGGCCCCCTCGTGGCCAGGAAGAGGCCCAGGATAGAATAATCAGAAATGACCGGGCCTTGGCCCCCAACGAATCAAAGAACTTCTGAATACGTAAGCATGAACCATGTGTACTCCTGGGGGGGCATCCCGACTGCAGCAGGACCTGCATCTCGTCCCTGTCAGCTCCAGGGCCTGAGCCGTCCAAGCTGAGCTGGGGCGCGGCGGCGCTGCGCGGCAGGCTGCGCGCCAGCTCGCGGTGGAGCTCCTCGAGCTCCCTATCGACCACCGGCTGCTGCGCCATGAGGCTACCGAGCTTCCCCCGCGCCTGTCCCATGATGTGTGTCTGCTCTTCCACCTATTGAGACGACTTTGCGCGTTCGGCCCCCGCCACGCTGAGCTTGTGGCCCGCGTTGGCGTGCTGCGCAGGGGCGCTTGGCCGACCGCGCGGACGGCGGCCTCGAGGCCGCTGGTCCGCTCGCGGATGACCTTCTCCTTGTCGCTTTCCTTCGGCACTTGCTGCTCGCGACCGCCAGTACCAGGAGCACGCGGAATAAACATAGACTTGAACAACTGATCGTACCGTTTCTGAAAGACGCCGATGTGATTCAGCATCTTGTCCTTGGTCTTACCTTCTCCATTGCTGAAGAGGCGCCCAGCAGGAGGATAAGGATCGTCACTGCTCCTCTTCGCGTTCCGCTTGGCGGCGGCGGCAGCGGACGGCTGAGTTCCCTTGCTGCATCTGAACTGAATCCGACTTGCAACATCGGTTAAGGCCGCAGGCACCCGCAGGGCTCGGAAAAGAGCGCCAGCTCACAACAGCACGTGGCCGTTCCGAAGAGGCATGCTTCTGCAAGCTCAGGCCGCCAAAAGTCTGAGCCAGAACGGCTGAGAAGGAATAGGACGAGGAGGAAGAGGAGGAGGAGGAGGAGGAGGAGGAGGAGGAGGAGGAGGAGGAGGAGGAGGAGGAGGAGGGGGGGAGGAGGTGGAGAAGGAGGTGGAGGTGGAGGAGGAGGAGGAGGAGGAGGAGGAGGAGGAGGTTGGTTGTACAGAGGTGAAGGAAGAGGGAGGACTGACACACATCCTTGTACTTCACGCGGAAGCTCTTCACGAAACCGAACGACGGCGCCGCACACTCCATCCTCCACGACAGCCGCGCGACGTGCCTCAGCTCATGCACGATGACCTCCTGCTCGTCCTCGTCCTCCTCGTCGGACTTGTCCTGCACATTCCGCCCCCGCTTGCTGCTGGAGGTGCAGTTGACCACAATGTGCTCCACCTGCACCGGCCCCACGGGGGCATCGACGTGCGTGCAGAGCACCTCCGACGCGGGCGAGGCGGCCCCCTCGAGCTCGCCTGACACCCAGCGCAGCTGGACCAGGCCGGGGAGTCGGGCTCGGTGGTCCCCCTCCAGCGGAGCCCCCAAAAAACAATACCGCGACTCCCTGGACCTGGGGTGCGTTTCCGGCCAGGATTTCGAGGCGAATCCAGGCGTGGCGACGAGGTCCGCCGAGGAAACGGGGCGCGTTCTGGCTTGAATTTCAAAGCGAATCCATCCGTGGCGACGAGGGCCGCCCAGGAGGCCCAAAGGGGCGACAACGAGGGACGGGTAGCGGTATCGGTGCCTTTTCTTCCTCTAGCCTCCGGCGGGTGCACCCCTGCAACGCAGAGCCCCCAATCGTCGCCGAAAACCCCCAGCGGGTCCTCGCCGGGCTCCGTGCCAGACGCTTGGCTCTCGCCCTCGGTGGCCAAGCGGCCACTGAGCAGGCTCAGGGTGCTCCGCTGGGATATTTGTTCGGCTTGCCGCGAGCGGCGGACGAAGTGGTAGCACCTCGCCTCCTCGTGGGGAGGGGCTTCGCGGGGTGGCCGCCAGCTGGGGGGGGGGGCTAGGGGTGGGCGAGCGCAGTGCCGATGCCGTCGATGCGCGGCCAGAGGGTGGGCGATCGCAGCGTAGCTCTAAGTCGGGCCTGTCCCCCTTACAAGGGGATTTTTGAGGAAGACTTAAAATACGATTTTTCCAAAAATGAAAAAATACTCAAAACTAGTCCCCAGACTATTTGTTTTAACTATTTTTGAGTATTCCTCCTGTAGAGGGAGAGGCCCGACTTAAACGTAGCTGTCTCCTGGTTGGCGGCAAGAGTTCGCCCACCAGTGGGCGGACGCCGGGTGATCTCGGATGGCCCCAGCTAAACACCAGATCGGCAGGATGCTCAGAGGCTCCTGACAGGCGCCTGACAGCCCCATGAGAGGCGCCTGAAGGGGTCACGATGAGGTTCTGAGAGTCCTGACGGGGTACTGAAGGTCCTCTGGTCGTGGGAAGACGCTCCTGAGTGGATATGTAAAAAGCTTTTGGGGCGGTCTTGAGAAGGTCCCGATAAGCTCCTGAGAGGGTCCTCGCAGGGTTCAACGATGGTCCTGAGAGGGTCTTCGTGAAGGCGTGCAATTTTGGAACACTGTACTGTTTTTTTGGGGGGGCCCAGAAATGTAATCCCAGATGAGACAGCAAAACATGTGTCGATATTATCACCAGCGCGTTGTTGAACGACAAAAGCTTTGGACGAATTGTGTGCCTGATGTTGGCAGGGCCGCCTAAGACAATCTGCTTGATCGAGTACAAGTGGCGGCGACGCGACCGCATCGCGACGGCTTCGCGCAGGCGGCGCGAATGCAGCCACGTTGGCCTTTCTCGGGGAGATCCCGAACCATTTTAAACACCATTGCGCAGCACCTTGAAGCGAGACGGTACCATTAAGTCGAGCGTGTCCTGCTACAGACGGGCTTTGGACGAAAAGCTTAAAATACCAAACATATTCAGAAAATACAATGTCATAATGAAAAAAGAGCACCCCTAATTCTTTTTGGGCTATTTTTGAATATCTTCCTGTAGAAATGCAGGCCCGACTTAACGCTACCAAGGAAAGACGGAATGCATTTTTGCAGGACGGATGCCGCCGTCCCATGGGCGACAATGGGGCCCGCTTGGGGGGGGCGGACGTTCCAGGGCGTGCGGGGCCCTTTTTGGGGGGGCAAACGCTCCCGATTTTCCGAATTCCCGAGCCAGTGGGTGCTGTGTCCTACCCCCCAAAGGGGAACCCCTCGTGTATCACTCTCTCTCTCTCTTTCTCCCTCTCTCTCTCTCTCTCTCTCTCTTTCGAGCGATCGATCGATCGGGAGGGATAGAGAGAGAGAGAGAGAGAACAAAAAAAAACATAACAAAAGAAAGAGAACGATAATGAGGAAAAGGTGTCGAAACCGAGGGGGTCCCAAAGGGGGGTGGCCTTCCAGATTGCTGAACAAACAAGCGCCCCAGACCTACAGACAATTTCGGCTGCTAAAAAATCATGGGCCGGAGTTTAGACGTCGAGGTCCTGGTGCAATCTTTCGGCCCCCCAGGAAGGTCCGTGGAGGGGGGGCAACAAATCCTGAATTCGTTGGGGGTCATCTGTGCACCGGGCGCCCGTCCACAAAAAGAGGCCGCGCCACGCACTGCCGAGCCAGGCGGCGCGGGGGGAATGGGGGGGGCGCAAGTGTGTTGCTGCGGGGAGGAGGGGGAGGAGGAGGAGGAGGAGGAGGAGGAGGAGGAGGAGGAGGAGGAGGAGGAGGAGGAGCAGGAGGAGGAGGAGGAGGAGGCGCCACAACCAGAGTGCCGATCGACTCGTCACGCTGCTCAGCGTGGCAGTCTGGCTCGGAACCTGGGCGACACGACGAGCATGCCTTGGGCGCGCACCAACACCGAAAAGGAGATGGCACAGGACTGGGCTGCCCTCGCGGGCAATGATCCGAGGCCCCAAGACCCAGGCCGCAGTGCGCCGTCGAAACATGGGGAAGGGCACCCCCGTGTTCTCTCGGCCCCTGATGATGATGGTGGTGGTGGTGATGATGATGTTGGTGATGGTGACGATGCCGATGACGGTGATGATGGCGATGCTGATGAGGATGATGGTGACGATGATAATGACGATGGTGGTGGTGATGGTGCTGATGATCTAAGCGTCTAAAGAAGTCAAGAGGTTCCCGTTCATACTGCCCTTCGGGCCGAAGAGTTTCCTCTGGCCCTGCGGCGGCAATGCTCGGGCTCGTGCCCTAGGCGCACTCGCAGACTCACACGCGTGTCAAAAGAGCATCCGCCGCACCAGCCTAAGCAAGCGGAAGTCGCGCCATCGTAGCAGTTACGTCGACTTGGCCTCGCAGGCGGCGGTGCAACACGCGCCAGGCGCAAGCGCCAGTGCAGCAGCGGTGAACAGGGCTGGTACGTAGCTGAAAACTGCAACCCTGCGGGCTGCGGCGGCACGCTTGCCGCAGGCACGATGGACCGTCAGGCCCGCCTGGGGCCACGAGCTAAGGCACATCACAGGACGACGCGAGCCCAAGAGGGGCGGGAGAGAGCGAACCCTGGCGTGCGCCGAGCCCCGCGCCCCACAATGTACAGCCTGCGCCACGGGGCCCCTTTCTCTCCGAGGGCATGCGCGCTCGTAGTAGGCACTCGTGATCCTCGGCACCGCCTGGCACCGCGAGCAGAGGCGGCGGGAAGGGAACCCAGGAGTGCGCAGAGTCCGCGAGGGGCTGCGCCTAGACCACAGGGCCCCTCCCCACCCGAACGAGACCTGCTCCTAAGGCCTGGGGCGCCTCGAGTGGGACCCCGACGAGGGGGCTGGCCGATGCGAGGGCCATCCCCGAGGCGGCCGCCGCCTCCAGAAGCTCGCCCGCAGACAGGAGGCCTGTGCCGCTGCCCTCGCCACCGTGAGGAACTGCTCGGCCGCCGCTGCCGACGAACCCGTCGCCGTCTGGTCCTGGACGGGGCGATGGTGTCACCCGCAGCTGCTGGGCCAGCGCCGCGGAAGACTCTGAGCCTCCCACCCGATGCACAGTGCTGTTTGATGATCGCCAGCAGGTCGTCCCACGTGGTCTCGTCAGCGTGGACTCTGGACGCCGCGCCCTCTCCTTCTTAATCCTCCACCACGAGGGGCGAGAGAGAGAGAGAGAGACAGAGATACGTCGGATGCGTCGTCGTAGTGCTCGCCCACGGCCGCAAACACCAGGTCGTCCGCCTCGTCCGTGCTCCGTGTGACGTACGTCTGCAGCTGCTCCCTGAGCGTGGCGAGCTGTGCCTCAATGCGTAGTCGGCAGCCCAGCCTTCCTGCAACGAGCGGATGTCCTGAGCCTGCCACGCGACTTGGAGGGGGCTCTCCGCGAGAGTCCGAACTGCTCCGCCTGACACCTGACACAGCAGCTGCAGCCTATGGGAGAGACCAAACATTCATGCCGACTGCATGCACCGCGATCGCCTGGGGCAGCGAGGCCAGCAATGCGCCCTGCTCCTCGGCAGGGGGCAGCCGTTGCTCAGCTGAGCTCCCACCCCCGGGCCCGTCTGGCGACCCTGGCGCCGCTCCCAGACGTGGGCCAGCAGCCGCCCGAGCCAAGGCCGCCCGCGAGGCGCCAGCAACGCCTCCCTGGGGGACTCGCCTGGCGTGCAGGGCCGCGCTGCGACGCCGGCGGCTGCTGCCAGGGCCGCGCCGCCCGCCCGCGGCGAGACGCAGCGCTGGCCGAGCGGCTGCCTCGCGATCGCGCCACGAGCCAAGCTGGACTCGCGACGCGCGGCCACGGACCGCGTTCAAAGCGGACTGCCATCGCCGCCGCCGCGGCGCCTGGCGCCGCACCACAGTCGGGCCAAGCAGCGGGGTCCCATCGGACCGGAGGGCGCTGGGGCGCTCTGCCAGGGGCGGATTGGGCGGCCCCCCGCAGCTCCGAGCTCCTCCCACTTCTCGCGCCGCCAGCCAGTGCGGCCCGAAACGCGCGCAACTGAAGACAGGTCATGGAAATGACTGGCTTGGGCCAGAATGGCTCGGACCAACTGGCTACGGCTGATGATGATGATGATGATGATGATGATGATGATGATGATGATGATGATGTTGATGTTGATGTTGATGATGATAACCATGATGATGATGCTGATGATGATGATTATGATGATTATGATGATGATGATTATGATTGTGATGATGATGACGACGACGATGGACATGATGATAATGCTGATGATGAAGAGTACGAGAACGCTGATGATAATGGTGGTGATGATGATGATCGTGGTGATGAGGATGATGATGATGATGCTGATGTTGATGATGTGGATGAAGATGATGATCCTGATGCTGATGATAAGAGACGATGGTGCTGGAGTTGATGATGCTGATGCTGATGGTGCTAATGTTGATGGTGATGATTCCGATGATACTGATGATGATGCCGATGGGAATAATGACGATAATGATGACGATACTGATGATGATGATGATGATGATGATGATGGTGATGATGATGATGATGATGATGATGATGATTGTGATGATGATGCTGATGATGATAATGGTGATGGCGATACTGATGGTGGTGCCGAGGGAGAGGCTGCTGCTGCTGCTGACATCCTCATCACCAACTCACATCACCATCGTCACGGTCATCATTCCAGCCCCCATCAGCATCCTCATCAGCATCACCATCATCAGCACCATCATCATCGCCACCATCGCCACCACCACCATCACCATCATCATCATCAGCAGCAGCAGCATCACCATCACCATCATCATCGTCACCATTACACTCACCACCATCACCCTGAACCTCATCATCATCCTCAAAATCACCATCACCGTCACCACCATCATCATGAGCGTCATCAGCACCAATCGTATTATCACCACGGTCACCACTACCACCATCATTACTAGCATGCTCACCACCAACCATCATCATCACAACCACCATCATAATCAGCCGCATCAGCAACATCATCCTCATCCTCATCCTCATCCTCATCCTCATCGTCCTCCTCCTCCTCCTCATCCTCATCTCCATAATCCTTCTTCTCCTCCTCCTCCTCCTCCTCTTCATCATCATCATCATCATCATCATCATCATCATCATCATCATCACCATCACCATTACCATCATCATCATCATCATCATCATCATCCATTCCGACGTCTCGCCCGGAGTCCTGCCACTCCGACCAGGACGTGACCGTGCCGCCCTCCTCCGAGCGAAGCGCGGCCCGCGCCTGGAGCCGGTCGGGGAGCGGGAAGTCCTCGAGCGAGCTCCGCAGGGCAAAGGGGCCAGGCCTCAGATCGGGTCGGGCGAAAGGGGGGGATAGCAAAGAGGGGGTTTGAGAATCAGCTCACGTAGCTGATTTTCCCGGCGCCTCCCGGCGCCGGAGGCGGCTATGTATCGAGGAATGGGCCCCTCGGTGAGGCCGAAACCAGCTGCATGCAGCAAATTTCGTAACCCCCCCTTTCCCAATCCCCCCCTTTCGTCCGGCCCGATCAGAAGAATCAATCAACAGCTAGGAGGCAACTCCTGGGAGGTCTTCGCCAGAGCAGGCACGGGCTATCAAGCCCGGTGGAGGGGTCCTTGAGGCGAGCCGGGCCCGATTGGGCCCGGGAGCACGCCAGATTGCGCGGGATTGCGCCAGATCAGGCCAGTTTTCGACCAGGGATATACCAGCGCCGATTCTGAATTGAATCTCCCATGAGTTGCATCCGAACATGGGGTGTCCAACGGCCCACCTTCTCTAAGACGACGCCACGACGCCAGGACATGGAGAAGATCGGACCAGGTCACATCGGGTATCTCTGAGACCCAGCGGTTCTGGAGGATGCATTGGGCGCCGCGGCCTTCTCAGAGCGTCCTGGAACTCTCGGAAAGCGCTCCAGAGCGCTCCGGAACTTCTTGTCTCCGTCCTAGCCCCACCCTGTATTCCGCTGAGGGGGCGGGGGTCAAATAGGCGACTAACACAGACCCTCCAGAGGTAAAACAAATAAGCCGAGCGTCCTCAAAACCAGCGGACCTAACTGCCCATTGAAGCATTACCGCGGCCAGCCCTCGGGCCAACCTGCAGCCAACCTCTGGCTAATCTCCGGCCAACCCTGGCCAAGTCTGATGGCCAACCTCTTCGGCCAACACTGGCCGGGGCAACTCTTCAACAGATACCATATTTATGTTCGCATCTGTGCCCCATCAAACCTGACTTGGCGGTTTGGGCACCCTGGCCCTTTGTGGGGCACCTGGGCCACAGGCCTGGTCGAGGCTTACTCTCCCCAACCGGCCCGACGTGCCCCAGAGCGCGGAGCACCCGGTCAAGGCTGACCCACCCATGCAGCTTGTCCACGCTGGGTCCCGACCCCGCCCCAGCCTTCCCGAGGTTCCCCAGCGCGCGGAGCGCCCCGCTGTTCGACCAAATGGACCAGCTGGATCGGCGGCCCGATCGAACCCTTCTCCCCCCCCCGTCAAACAAGGATACCGCCACACAGCTGCAAGCTGTCCACAACTCCTATCCGCACTGCATCTCCATCGTGAGACTAACCTTAGGTCGGGCATGTTCCCCTACAGGCGGATTTTGGACGAAGCATTGAAAATACTCCAAGAATGCCCCCAAAATGGTCAAACATGGTTATAAAAAAACGCCCCCTGGCTATTTTGTTACTTTTGTTGAATATTCCCCTGTAGAGGGACAGGCCCGACTTCAGACTGACCTGGCAAGCGGCCCGATCGAGCCCCGATCGACGCATCGAGGGCTGCGCATCCAGCCCTGCGGGTTTCCGAGGGCTGCGCGTCCAACCCTCGGCGCCGCCGTGGCCGGCGGGGAAGAGCAGCGAGGGGTGCATGAACGGCCACCTGACCACCAGCCAGCCGCACTCCGCGCTCTCCACGGCCTCGGTGGCGAACTCCTCTGGGAGGCCCTCAGCAGTCTGGTCCTCCCGTTCCCCCTCCCCTTGAGCAGAGACCGACCGTCCCGGCATTCCTATAGTCCTGCCACGAAATGTTCTTAGAACCCCGAAAATGTTCGAAGAACAAAAACAATGTTCTTAGAACATTAGCCCGATGTGTTAAAACAAGACAGCCCCAGCCAGAAGTATTTTGAGAACACTTCGTGCAGACCACAAAAGGTTCTTAGAACATTGTTTGGTGGGCCTATAGGCGAGCCGGGACGCTTCGCCACTGCTTGATCCCCCCTTCTCCTCAATCTTCGGGGGGGGGGGGCGTCTTGACAGCCTCTGCTTTTCTGCCGGGGCGCCCGAGGACCTCCGCAGGGGGGCTTCCGGCCTCCCCTCGGCCCGCGCGACGAGAAGAAGATCGGGGGCGTCTGAGAGGGGGGCGCACAAGAGGGGGGTTCGCAAGTCATGGCCCGGGGCACGTGCGTGGCCCAGGAAGGGGTGGGGGGGCAGGGAACGCCTTGGAACAAGAAGACGGGCCACGAAATCTGGAGAGATCTCACGGCCCAGTACTATGAGATCCCCCCTCCCGCAGTCATCACCCCCCTCTGGGCCGCCCCCGAGCAGAGAGGGCAGACGAGCTGGCGGTCGACGCGGGGGGTCTCTCGGGTCCTCTGCCCGCAGGGGCACGGGGGCCGGGAGGCCAGGCACGACGACGGGGATCCACGTCGCGGCGTCCATCCACAGCGCGCCGTCGCACCTCGCGCGCGGGAGGCGTTAAGCTCGAGGCCACCACGATGGTGCTGGTGGTTGTGATGCTCATGCTGATGCTGATGAGGATGATGATGCTGATGATGCTGGTGATTATGTTGATGGTGATGGTGGTGATGGTGTTGATGATGCTGGTGACGCTGTTGATGATGATGGTGATGATGATAAGACTGATGGTGGTGGTGATGGTGATTGTGATGAGAATGATGGTGGTGATGATGATGGTGATGATAAGAATGATGGTGGTGATGATGATGATGATGGTGATGGAGGCGACGATGGAGGCGATGATGATGGTGATGGTAGTGGTGGTGGAGGCGATGATGGAGGCGATGATGATGGTGATGATCAGGGTGATGATGACGAGATGTTCTGCCCTGGAGCTCAACACGTGGCCTGAAAATGCAGGTCTGGCGCGATATACGTTCGCCAGAACGTGGGCCAACGCGGTGAGCCAACACGCAGCGTGTCAACGCGGACGTTTTGAACACGGTGCGTGTTGCGTTTCCAGGCGGGCGCATCAGGGCGGCTAAAGGCCGCGAGTGGTACGAGAACGGCACTCATGCACCGCACCATGTTTGTCCTCCCTTCAAGCCTTGCTCCAAAGCGGTACCGAGCACAAAAGAAAACGGCTCTCGGGGGCCGAGAAACTATGCACCGGACATTGCCTGGGTCGGGCGTTGGCAGAACTGGGTCTAGTGGGACCTGGTTTAGTGATGTGTACCAGGGGGCGCCCCCCCCCCGTCCCATCCCACTTCCCGGAATTGCCGTCACCCGAAAAGCATCAGCTACGGCAGACCTGGTTTAGCGACTCCAATCCATATTTTGGCCTTCGGGGACCAATCACTAACCGGCTCCCCTTAACAGGGGTCCTGGCTATACCCGACGAAAACCGACGACGCCTCGGGAGGAGCCTTGGCGGTACGGTGCGCACCACTTGTCCGCGGAAGTGAAGGAACCACAAAGACATCCGCACGAACGCGGGTCAGCACAAGCCCAGGTCGGACAAGGCCCCGTCGTCAAGCCCAGAGCACGCCACGCAGCAGCTCCCAAACCCAAGCCAGCGGAGGGGGAAAATGGAGGCCTCCAAGATGGACTCCAATTGAGATTTGGCCACTGATATCACCGCCGCCATCATCATGAGAAATCCTCCAGGGTCTGCAGCCTCCTGGGCACATTCCTTAATCAACGCCCCCACCATATGGGGTCGGAGGATCTCGCCGCATCGCCGATGCATCGGCGGTGCATCGGCGACGCATCGGCGATGCTTCGGCGATGTACCGGCGACGTCGGCGATGCGTCGGCGACGTCGGCTCGGCGTGGAGAATATTGGGCCCCACATCAAGCCGCATCGCCGAAGCATCGCCGATGCATCGGCGATGCGGCACGATCCTCCAACCCCATCTACTCCGAACCAGTCTTGGAGGCCTAGACAAATGCAACTACTTTCCGAGCTGCGTCTGGCCGTGGGGACGAGTGCCCCCCCCGAAGGCCCACCGCCGCTGCAGCAATGCGCACGTCTCTGATCTTCCTCTCTGAGCGAGGGCATAGCCGTGGGCACGTTCGCCGCCCAGTGAGCACCAGTCGGCCGTCCCGGGC